TTACATGTGTACAGCAAGTAAGAACAAAGAATTACACACTATATCTTATTAATAGGGCTCTGGCACCACATCCTGTTTTAGAACTCTTAGTTCTAATGAACTGTGTTTTTGACTATAAGCTGGTGTTATGGGGCAACCCCGATATAAAACGGGTTGCCTGGCTGTGGGTCCTCACACGCACGCTTAAAAGGGACTTATTAATACTCCACTACAGGCACACACAAAGGTTAATAAAGGGTTTATTTACAAGGGAAAGAGAATTAAGGAAATGTACAACTCAGGAGAAAATAGGGAAATAAAGTCTTTAATGCGTCCTACCCGATCCGCCGACCTGGAAACCCAAAGGCACTCTCCGAGCTGGCCGGACTCTGTGAGCTGGCGGAGAACCAAAATGGGGGACCCCTCCAAAGCCCACGTGTCTGGCTTTATACCAAACCTGGCTGCTTAACCCCACCCTCAGGTCCCAGCCACCTTCCCTTTGATGGTGATGGGATTTGGAGTTCCCAGTGTCTTTTGGCTTTGGTCGGGAGTGGGGGTGGAGTCCACAAAGCCTGTATGGAATTAGCTTTAGGACATCCTTTCCCCCCTAACAAAGGGACTCCATCTGTGCAGCTGAGCTAGAGAAAGACTTAAGAGATCAGGACAGGGCCTGAATCCATCTGAGCTCCCCAGGTTGAGAAGTGGAAGAGTACTTCCTCTCGCTGCATTTGGGAGGCAACACCAGACCGCACGAAATTCTAGGAAACCTGGCTCTCAGAACATGAAATGAGGAATCTGCAGTGAGGGAACTTAAAACCAGCATTCCTTGACCTTGACTTTGACCTTGTCCAACTCCATTCCTTACAAGAGAAGCTGAAGGACCCTGTTTGGGAAGTGACCACTCTCTAGGATCATTTGCAAAAGAATTATGGGTGGGGTCTGGGTGAGTCTAATGAAATTTGTATTTTTCCCCACTGCCAGAGATCTTGATTCAGTAAGTCTGTGGTGAGTGAGGATTCTGGACTTTTAACAAGCAAGTCAAGAATTCTGATGTACGGATGCTTTCACTTACAGCAGGAATATAGGGAAAGCAAATAAAATATCAATGTAAAAAAATAATAACAATTCAAAACACAACAAAGCAAAAACAGACAATTATAAATCAGAGACATCCTGCAGGGGAAGAGGAGGGAGAGGGATCAGAGGGAGGGAAGGACTGAGGTGATGGTGCATGGGTGCATTGGTGAAGGAAATTCTTTGGGGACTACACCTGAGGAGGTGGGGGGGGAAGCAAATATTGTTTAAAAATGAACAATGATGTAAAAAAAATATAATATAAATAAATAAATACCTAAAAAAAAAGAATTCTGATGTAGACAGTTCAGGGAACATGCTTTGAGACCCACTGGCTTTGAGGCTGGAGTGTCTACAGGCCAGGGATGTGGGCAGGAATCCAGGGTTAGAGGTCAGAATGGAAATAAGCCAAATGTTTATGTACTTCCCTTGGTTGGTTTTGGAAGGTTTTGAGGCCTGCTTAGAGGTGCTGGAGACCATAGAGAGTGATGTCATCCCATGCTAAGTCTCTCCTGCATCTGCTGACTCCCTGCTTTCTTTGCAGTGAAACCCCTTTAATCAACTACGTTGGATTTACATGTAATGTAACTCCTATTATTAAATCCTTTCTTAATAATAGATCATTAAATAGCACATGATTATTAATTAAAGCTTGTTTTAGTCAATTGTATACATATTGACACATATTCTTAGGTAGAATTGAACTCAGTTTGCAACCAGTGTTAGAGCCATTCTACCCCAGGATGTCTCACTGCTACAAAGGAGTTAGTTCTTGATATAAATGGACTGGTAAAGGGCTTAGAGGAAGAACAGACCAGCCCAAGTGGAGCTGGTCAAGGAATGAGAGTAGTCATGGCAGGGGGGTATAGATTTATAGGACTGTGATTAGGGTAGGAGATGCAGGAGGCAGTTCAGGGATAGGTGTGGAGGACTCGGGAGGAGGTAAACCATAGGGAATTTGGGTTGGATAGAATATTCTGAGTTGATGATGGTTAGGGGTTGCTGACCATGCAAAACTCAATAGGCTAGAAAGTGGCATGTTCCAAGCGGGGGTGTGTCCTGGTCAAGCTGGACTTGGGGGTATGATGGGAGTGGAGGATGCATAAGGCAGGCCTCCTAAGTTGTATCCTCCAGGGAGTGTTTAGTGATTCTTGGAGGTGGGGATTCCTGTCAAAAGCAAACATACAGGGGCCAGGAAGAAAATGTGCATTTGTTCACTCATTTCTCCCCAATATTTACTGATTTCCTACTTGGTTCCAGTTCCAGAAATGTAGTGGTGAGTATGGTACATCCCTTGTTTCACCCATGCCCTCGTGGGGAGACAGTTGTGAAACGAGCTAACAAATAGATATATAATTTCATGTAGTGACAAGGTTGTGTAGAAAACCGAAGGTAAAGTGTCAGGGTGTGACTATTTTAGATTGGGGCAGTGTCAGAGAGGACCACTTTGAAGAGGTGACGTCTGAGCAGAGATCTGGATGAAGTGTGGCAGTTAGCATTTGGGGCCATGGTCTGACTTTATTCCAGAAGATACTTGGGACCATGAATGTTTTTATGGCTGTTGTGGGTGGTAAGTTCACTGGCACAGGCTCTATTTTGGGGTGGGCACTGACTCACTGACAAAGAATTGGGCAACTGCTCCCAGCTGTGAGACTGTTTCCACTGTAAAATGAGGATCTTAATAATCACCTCTGTTTTATAAGCTCTCATGAGAATTGTTCACTGTCTGTTTAGAAAGTATTTTTTATTGCACCAAAATTTGTATTTATTTTGTGTAGAAGCTGAGGAGTAAATGGTTAGCAATTAACCCAGCTGTGTTCTCAGAGAGCAAAACTTGGTCTGGTTCACTCAGTGCTGATACTGAGTTGACCTCTCAAAATGATGTGCTCTCCTGCTGATTTTCTTTGCTTTAGCACACAGTTGAATGCAGACCAACATCCAAAATTTCTGGTTTCCATTCTCTTGCCAAAAACCTGTATGACCTTGCTGTCCTGTTCTTGTGAGGAGAAAAGGGGCAGTTGAGTGAAGAGAGAAGAGGAAGAAAAGAAAATTTAACTGATTAAAACAACAAGGATGGATCTGAGGGAAAAGATCTTGGCTGATACAAAAGGTTCAAAAAGTCAACCAGGGCCTCCCCGGTGGCGCAGCGGTTGAGCACTGGGTTGTGAAGCTGCCCGCAGCCTCTGTGGCCCCGGTTCGAGCCCCGGCTGCTCCCCGGCCACCGGAGAAGGGTCCCACATGGCACGCAGACCTCTCCTGCCGCCCACTGCTTCCCTCAGCAGTGTTCTTTGGTCCTTCTGCCTGCTCTGCTCCCCTCTCTGGCTCTGGTGAATTCTCTCACTCTCCTGCGCTTCTGACTGTACCCAGTGCTTGTATAAATAAATAAATAAATCTTAAAAAAAAAAAAAAGTCAACCAGCCAAGTGATTTGTCTCTCTACCTCTTTCTCAATGTTTCTCTCTGTCAGAGTCTTTTGACTTTTTGATGTTTGTTTCTGGGAGATCACAAAGTGAGCTTTGTTTTGTAGCTTAAGAAATGGAGGACAGAAACTGATGGGTGGTATCCACAGATAAACAGGAGAGGTGGGGAAGTGCGGAAGTGTAGGATGTGTGAGTACAATCACCTCTGTATTAGGATGAAGGTCCTAGTTTTGGGAAGTACATTCTGCTACCAGCACTAGTCTGGAAACTTCTCATTTCAAAGACTTGACTGGGAGATAATGACTCTCCAAGATACTGGTGTGTCTGTTGCTCAGAAGGTCCAGTGACAACTGGTTGGAGAAATTCCCTCATAGTGTGGCTGCTGCCTCAATCAATACCATTTCTGGAAAAAGGTTTTGGCACCACCAAAAATTGCACAGGTGTGTCTGGGTGCAGTTAATGCTGGATTCCAGTGGCACCCATCACCAGCAAACCAAAGTGAGAACATACCTGTTAATTCTTTTTTGAGTCCTGCTCCCTTTTGTCCATTGAATAAAAGCCTAATTACCCAGCCTGCCTCCAGTGCCCTCCACAATCAGAACCCAGGTTATTTTTCCAGACTGATCTCTCACCACCCTCTCATATCCTCCAGATTCCAGCCAAACCACACGGCTGCTTCATCCTCTACGTGCCCACACTCTTGCATCTATGTACTGTGCTTATTACCTGGAGGTCCTATATTTTTTTAAAAAGATTTATTTATTTATGCATACAAGAACTGGGGTACAGGCCAGAGGTATAGAGGGTGAGAGGATTCACCAGAGACAGAGTGGGGAACTGAACAGGCAGATTGACTGATATAAACTTCTGAGGGGAACAGTGGGTAAGTCAGGAGAGGTCTGCTGTGCCACATGGGTAGCTCCCTAGCCAGGATCAAACTTGTGCAGCAGTGGCTGTGGATAGCTTCATAAGTTGTGTCTTAACCCCTTGCGCTACCAGGGAGGCCCCACCTGGAGGGCCTATATATAAGCTTCACATATCACCTCTCTTTCTTTATAACAGGCCAGCCCTGGCCTCCACCGCACAGTGTAGGTATTCTGTGACCCACCTAGATTGTTATTTGTGTGTACATGTCCCTGCTAGATCGGGGACTAGTAGGTACTGGGATAGGACTGCTAGTCTTAGTGAGCTTGGGCTACAAAATGCCATACACAGGGTAACTTCAACAACAGAAATAAATTTTCTCACCATTTTAAAGTCTGGGAGTCCAAGATCAGGGTGCTAACACAGTTGTTTTCTGGTAGGGATTCTCCTGGCTTGTGGACAACTGCTGTGTACTCACTTCGCAGACAGAAATTCAGTTTCTCTTCCTCTTTTTATAAGGACACCAGACCTAGTGGATCAGGACCTCTCCCGATGACTTCATTTTAACCTCAATTACATCATTTTTCCACAGGGCACACGGGTCTTCTCTTTAGTCCTGTTACCAAGAATCTTGGTAGGATTCATATTCACACTTCTCTTCCAGGGCCATGTTCTGCAATGATTTAAAGGAAAAGTATGAGAAGAGGATCATTATCAAAGGGGTGGATGCTGAGACCATGCACACTCTTCTGGACTATACCTACACCAGCAAGGCGCTTATCACCAAGCAAAACGTCCAGCGGGTCCTGGAAGCTGCTAACCTCTTCCAGGTGTGTGAACACACAGGTTCAGTGCTGTCCTCTGGAGCAGAGGAAATCAGCCATTCCCCAGAGACCTCCCTGGACTGGCTCCCAGGTCTGGACCTGGGATTTGTACACACCTAGCTGTGCTTACTTCAAAGGAAGACGGTACTGCTTTGGTGATGACATGGGCATCATGCACTTAAGGAGGTGAAGCCAGGCGAGCTTGGTGCCTCATACATTTGGTTCCTGACTCCAGAAACAATGACTAAATTTATGACACCTAAGTGGAGCCAGGAGCTGTAACTACTACTTCATATGTGTAACTTCTACTCATTTGCACAATCTAGGGAGATAGTTAGACTCCTCCACTTTACAGGTGGTGAAAGTAAGGCCCACAGCTGATACGTGACAAGTCTGTGACTAGAGCCCTGGGCTTGCCACTACACCAGGCAGTATCTTGAGGTGCAGTGTCTAGATTTGGGGGCAAACAGGACCTGATCAGCACTTCATGGTGGGTATAAAAGAAGAACACGTGTCTTGAGGAGTATTATAGAAAATAAGTTTTGAACGCTTGCGTTTGAGTGCTTCGATTTCGTAATAGTAATTACATTTAGCTTCACATAATAATTAGACCTCAATGATGTCAGTTGTGTCCACAGTTATCACAGGGTCCCATGCCAAATGGCCATCTTTGCCTAGGTCTAAGATTAAATCTTGAATGTGATTCCATTGGGTTACAACAGAGATTCCCTCCCTGAGGATGTTGAGATTTATTTTAACCAGAACCCAGGGGCAGGTGAAGTTATCCCAGGGACCCAGGACAAGCATCATATCTTATCCACGGTTTGGGATTTGAGAAAGTGGTGACCTTTTTGCTCATCAGTTGGTCAGCAGTTGCCAGAAACGAAAACAGTCTGGTTTCTTCTGAAGAAGGTGGGGAGCAAAGCGTTCCATGGTCAAGATCATGAGGACTGGTGTTACCTTTGGTGAGGCTGGAGTCTGGGTGGGATTTACATAGCCCATCAAGAAGGGAGAGAGGAAACTCAATCATGAAACCATAATAAATCCTCGCTAATGGCATGTTGCAATGGTAACTGATTTTATTATTTCAGTTTCTTTAGAACATTTTATTTTATTTATTATTGTTGTTGTTGTTGTTGTTGTTATTGGCTTTTGCAGGCTCTTATTGGGATTTTACCAGGTACACAGCAGGCAGGGGTGCTGGTGGGCCCAGAGGCTGGCAGGCCTCCCAGCCCCCAGCAAGTCTTCACTCTTTCTGGGCTCGCTGGCCTTCTCTCGTGGCCTCTGCTTCTCTGCTGGTGGTGCTCTTGCTCTTTCCCTCTCTCTCTGTCTTTTGCTCTTCTGTTCTTTAGAACATTTTAAAGTCACAGAGTGAGTAACTTCCAGCAGGACTGGTCATGCCTACCTGTTGCTGTGTCTAAGTCACCACCCACACATAAAGCCCTCGCCCTTTCTCTTTCCTAACCTGTTTATAACCTCAGCCTTATGGACTGGAATAGAAACATCCCTCATTTAGTGGAGGGAGGGGCTCAGCTGCTTCATACTCAGCATCACTATCTCATCCCCTCCATCCACTACTCCAACAATTAAAATTCAGGAAAATCCTTCTCAAGTCATGAAGGAGCCTCTATCAATGCAGTCTTTATGCTTTTTCTGAAACACCTTTTAAAAAACAATATAACTCTGGCCTCCCTGGTGGCGCAGTGGTTGAGCGCTGGGTTGCGAAGCTGCCCGCAGCCTCTGCAGCGCCGGTTTGATCCCCGGCTGCTCCCCGGCCACTGGAGGAGGGTCCCACATGGCGCGCAGACCTCTCCTGCTGCCCGCTGCTCCTCAGTGTACTTCGGTCCTTCTGCCTGCTCTGCTCCCAGCTCTGGCTCTGGTGAATTCTCTCACCCTCCCGCGCTTCTGACTGTACCCAGTGCTTGTATAAATAAATAAATAAATAAAATAAATCTTTAAAAAAAAACAATATAACTCATCTGCACCAATAACCTTGAGCAGAATCACCCCCTTCACCATTATTACAAAGTCAACTATAGCTGTCTTTTAAAAAATTAAACAGAAATTGTTTAAAAATATATATATTGCATCATAATTCATTTATATATAAATTGCAATTATAAAATTATATAAAATGCAATTATATATATTGCAATTATATAATTCATTTGTGTATGCTTGTATGTTTTCTCCTCTCAGGTGTAGTGCCCATAAAATTCCCACCACTAATTTACCTGTGAACTATCACCATAGTCCCTTGTGCTCTTCCCTCCCCTGTTTTGATCCCTCTGCCTCTCACTCCCTTGCAGAATGTCTCTGATTTATAGTTGCCTGTAAATTTTGTTTTATTTATTTATTTATTTATTTATTATTTTTGTTATTTTCCCCCTTTATCCCTTATTTGATTCCCCTATATTCCTCCTAGAAATGATGTCTTTTTTTTTTTTTTTTAAAGTCAATCTCTTATTCCCACTCCCTCCACAACCTATTCTTCTGGAGCAATTACTGTCACTTGTTTTAAATGTTTCTTCTTTAATTCACTTCTGTTTTTCTAAATGCTTTGTGCACTTTGCTCTCTCTTGTTGCATCAGTTTTATATAGCTTCTATTCCCTCTGCCTCCTTTTGTAACCTTAAGTGGTTGCTCCTAAGTCCTCTTGTTCAGCTGTCATCGGGGGAGTTCCTTTTTACCTCTTCTCTATGTTGGATTTTCTTTTCCTGGATCCCATGACTTTTTTCTTCTTGCATATTCCAACCTTTAATAGCTTACGATGAAAAGTATGCAAATTTACGGACTTAGCTGTCAAAAGTGTTTTTATTTCACCTTCTTACTTGATTGATATTTTGGTGGGCATTTTTGGGTGGGATATTTTTCAGTTGTGTCCACAATTGAAAAATAAAAGTCAAGGTGGAAAATAATTTTCTTTGTACATTTTGAAGACAATGATCCATATCTTGTACGTTTTATAGGAATAGGTTCCTATTGCACAAGCTTTTGAATCTGTTTATTTACCCTATTGTATTATAATTTTTTTCAAATCAACAAATCTGTTTCTGTAACAGCATTTACAATAGCTGCAGGCTTTTTTTAAAAAAATAATTTTTTATCTATGCATCCAAGAGCTGGGGTGCAGAACAGAGGTGTGGGGGTGAGAGGATTCACCAGAGACAGAGTGGGGAACAGAACAGGCAGATTGAACAATGTACACTGCTGAGGGGAGCAGCGGATGAGTCAGGAGAGGTCTGCAGCGCCATGTGGGTTTCTCCCTGGTGGGGGATTCAACTCCGGCTGCAGAGGCTGCAGATAGCTTCATAGTGCGGTGCTTAACCCCTTGTGCCACCAGGGAGGCCCCGCTTAAACCAGATTTGTACAGAAGAATGGCCCCCGGCCCAGGTAGAAGTAGATAAAGTGTTTGGTTTCGCGTGTCAGTACCTACGAATTCCTCCCCACGACGCAGCGCCAGGTAGGATTGGACTTCTCGTCAAACTCCTCCTAATGGGGCTGCAATGTCCTTCTCTATGTTTTCTTTCCCCAACGCCTGAGTAGCACACTCCACGGAGTCCTGCTGCATCTCTCCAGCACACCAGTATTTCTGATTGCCCCTTGCGGTCGCACACGGCTTTGAGGGGCAGCGGCTGCAGTGGTCTCCTGGGGGAGGGGCTGGCCAGGCTCAGACTAGGCCAAGCTACTGCGGCTACTGAGGCGGTTTTGCATCTGCCTCCATTTTTAAAAAGACAAATGTTGGCACATGATGCCCTCAGATCTGGAGCCTAAACCCAGAGCTTCTGACTCCTGTTGCTGCCTTCATCCCACATCTCAAAAACGATTCCAGTGAGCTTCCAACTGAGGGGGCAATCCAACTAGACCGCAAAGCAGAAGGCAGGAGTTCAGACATGGTCTGGCTCTGAAGGAGGTGGCATTGAGCTGGTCTTCATAGAATGGGTAGGATTTTAAGAAGTAGTAGTTGGGTTGGATGGAATGTATTACAGACAAAGGATACTAGTAAGCAAAGACTTAAGGTTTTCACATTCTCTACCTGCCTCCCTGTGGATCTGCTTCTCAGGATGTGACTTCTTAGATACCTGTTCCTCTGTCACACATGCATGCTGCATACACACACACACACACACACACACACCCTATCTTGACCTTTGACCATGTTCCAGATGCTGTCATTTCATTTAATCCTCACAATGGTGTCCTCTCTGGCCTACATCCTGTCCCTGGGCTGAGTCACTAAGCCCCAGCTGTGCTACGTGCCCCTTGAGACACATAGTGTTAATGTGGTTCACGTGTATCCCCTACTATGTGTTGCTAACCCCTCTGAAACTTGGACTATCCCCTCTGAAACTTGGGTTATCATAGTGTCCTGAGTCTCAGTCAAATTTACCACACCCTTTGGCACTACCCCCTTTATTTCCTCTGTTTCCACTTCTGAGGTCCGTTTACCTCTATAGTTGCCTCAGCCCCCAGCACTTGCCCCACCTTACCGAGTTGCCCTTCTGCAAGTCTTAGCTGCTTCTTTTCCTACCCACTCCAGTTAGCCCCAGTAACCAGCAGGCCTTTCAGTTCCATGTAGAGTACGGCCTCGAAGTTTAAGGGAGCACAGGACGTCACTGGATGGAGGGTATACTCCCCCAAGGTTTAAGGGGGGTATGTGGCTTGAGAGAGAGAAAGAGAGGCAAGGATGGAAAATCAGCTTCAGTGGGGATATGCAATTTTGAAGTATAAAGACCCTTTTTTAAAAACAAATATAGATCCCACAGGAGAACAGCTTTACTTTCCTTATCTACAGCCATGCATCATTTAACGATGGGGTAAGTTCTGAGAAATGTGTTGTTAGGCAATTTTGTAGTTGTGTATACATCACAGTGTATGTTATTCTCCAAATAGTACTTCTTCATTTAACTGGCGTCGCAGTTCAGGAGGGTGAGCTGGAAGCAGAGCGGGGTCAGCCAGGACTTCCCATGGATCTTATATTACACTGGCAGTGTGTGTTAACCATGG